AGGCCGCCATATAACTGGAATATTGCTGAGTGTGGCGTAAAACTAAACTCACTCATTCACTCTTACCTCAGAACAAACCCGTGTTTTACTTACAAATAGAAATGCTACGGCCGGACTGTTGAGTGTAATGTATTTGTAACCGTGGAGCTTGTATGAAAATAATGACTTTCTAGATGTACGTCACAAACATACATGACTAGATCACATGAGTTGTCAAGACTGTTTTAACAATTAATGTAAGTGTACATCCACATAATTATATCAGTAGGGTTAAATAGTGTGTGTGTGTGTGTGTGTGTGTGTGTGTGTGTGTGTGTGTGTGTGAAAGAGCGTAATCTGATAGAGTGATGAGCAGTCAATCCAGTGCTTCACATACGAATGCGAGCTGAATACTGCTTTACCAAATATTGCTCTGTTCAGAAATTAGTTGAGACTGAGATGTAATATTGCAACTTGTATGTACTTTAATAAAATCTGTAATGCCGAGATTTATTCTAAATGGCTCATATATCATGGTTTATTAAAAAAACGACTGAATTATTATTTTCTTTATCAATCTGTCCAATGATTGAAAATAATCTTGTGTTTGTGGGAATGCTTTGTCTTGCTTCATAAAAATAAACACCTCTATCCCATTAAGCTCGTTTCACTTCTTCAACAGTCCCCCCTGCAATGGCATGTCTGTAACAGGCTTTCACGAATAAAAGTTAAATTACCAAAACAATAAATATTGGCTATTCATGACACTTACTCTGTGTGTGACTGGACTCACCAAGCACAGGAAAACAAAACAATACAAGGTGTATACAGGCATATCCCCTCTCCACCTATGTGAAAGGTCGCCCCGTAAGTGAAGTCGGAAACGTCAATGACAGCATAAGCTCCTCTCTAATCTCATGCAGGCGTGAGGGCAACTGGTGTGGACAGTAACAATAGAAAGACAATATAAAACGATATGTCAAACCAGTACTTGACATTGGGGCATAATGTTATCTTAGGACCCGGAAGAGCAAACAAGTATCTTGTTATCACGGTATTATTACAGACTAATAGGCCACTACATCTATAAATCATGCAGGTAATAAATTAATGCTAGAGTGGAAGGAATGTCGTAGCAACGACTCTCACGGGGTTTCAGCATAGTAATAACTGCCAGGTTTAGTTGATCACTTTCACGCCAGCAGTCCTGGAACAATCCAAAGGCAAACACTCGGAAATGACTGATTCCTCACAGGCTGGTAGTATATATACTGCAGTGTCTACCTGAACTTCACCGGCTTGACTGAGACAATGTATTGGCTATTACTCTACAACTACACATTATATACCAACACGAATTTAGTGCAATCCAGTGCAATAGCACGGTGTTCCAATTAGATACGAAGGTAAATATACAAATATATATACACTATGTATGTACACTATGTCAGTTTTCCCAGAAATTATTGAGAAAATCTTTGCTTCCTAATACTGATAATAGCATATTAAAATAGGTGTTACATTATGTAATAAGGTACTCAATATGGGAGGCAACTCGTGTAGGCTTGAGACTGAACCTTACTACATCAAGAGTTATCTCCCCTGGTGACAACTTCCCTTGTTGACATGGCAGATTTGACAGCAGAAGAGAAAAGAAAGCTGGTTCTAGATCATTTTTAGAGGGATGTGAATAATGCAAAAGATTTAGCCTGGTACACATGACATTCCTCTGTCTATTGTATACCGAACTTTGAAGAATATTCTGTCAGGATTGAGTACAAGACAGAGGCAGGAAGGCCATAGAAGATCAGTACTACATATCGCTGGCGACTGGGTCAGATTGTGAGTAGGGGAAAAATTAAAAGCGTTGAGAATATCAGAAATGAGACAATTAATAGAGGAAGTACTCAGGTATGTAATGAACCCCTTAGACACGAATTACAGAGACGCGTAATTTCCTCATCATTGATGAAAGATGCACAAAAAGAAAGACGTTTAAACTGGTGTAGGGCTCACGAAAATCAACATTGGGATATTTTTTTCCTTTCTGATGAAAGTACTGTCTGTGTGAAAGTGTGGACAAAAGATACCTTGAAACCTATCTACCAACGCCCAAAATATAGCTCCAAATTTCACGTGGGGTGGGATCTCATCATGTGGAGTGTGTATTTTCACTGGAAATTTGACGAAGGGACGATATTTTGAAATCTTATATGATATGTTGACATCTCTCCTCCAACAGTCCGAACACTGTATGAACATAATTGAGTGAGTTTTACGCCGCACTCAGCAATATTCCTGCTATATGGCGGCGGTCTGTAGATGATCGAGTCTGGACCAGACAATCCAGTGATCAACAGCTTGAGCATCGATCTGCGCAATTGGGAACCGATGACATGTGTCAACAAAGTCAGCGAGCCTGACCACCCGATCCCGTTAGTCGCCTCTTACGACAAGCATTAGTTACTGAAGATCAATATTCTAACCCGGATCTTCACGGGTAGTATGAAGATAACTGGATTTTCCAGCATGATAACGACCCAAAACAGACTGCGGGCTACACAAAACAGAGGTTGTCTGACGAAAATGTTCAAACTTTAGACTGGCCCAGCTACAGCCCAGATATTAACCCTATCGAGAATGTGTGGGGACTAATGATCATTTCGAAGGACACAATAAACCAAAAAGGACTTAGAAACATTGAGAATATGAAGAATGAAGTAATCGAATATTGGGATACGCTGTCACACGATTTCCTGCAAACTTTGATCAGTAGTGTACCAGGGCGCATTCAGTCGTGTATTGCAGGGCAAGGAGGTCTCACAAAGTACCGAAAAGACACTTAGACTGTAGAAGAATCATATCTCAACATATTCATTGAAGTAAAACTTTTATCGTTTATATACAAGTATTAGATATTTGCCGAAAGAACTTTCTCAATAATTTCTGGTAATACTAATAGTATATGGTATTCATGCACGGAGTTTTGAACAGTGTCCATACGTGTCCAAATAAGACCCACTCTCTTGAAAAAGAATTCACATTAGGATTGGTCTCTTAAAATGATATATAAACTAGAAAATCACACATCCACATAGAATATATATTTACCTTCAATAATAGGAATAATTATCGTTAATTACAAAACCAGTCAATCGTATATCAGCAGTGAAGGTACACGGGACAGGACATAAGGGGGAAATAATTTGTTAATGTGTAAAAGATGAAGCGAAATCGTTTTTCGGAGCACCTTTAGAATACAGCACCACAACTTCTCCTTAGGACGATCTCTGCCATAGGTCACGTGTCATTAAGACAAGCAACCAGTTTGTGAGAACCCGTCGGACGCGACCCCGCGACCTTCGGATTGTTAGCTCGACAGCTAACCGACTGAGCTACGTCCACACTGTTGCGCAATGTGCAAATTTATCGAGTCCTTCCTGTGACGTCACGGAAATGAACGGAAAGAGTCGAATAGGTCACGGACAATTACGGATGCTACGGGTAGACTTGGTGTCTAGTGATTTTATTCTTCGGACAATTGCCGAATGGATCCGATGCCATTTGGCACACTCGTCCCATTCCGTAATCTACAAATTAACGTGTGGCGTGGAATGAGCCGATATGCCTCAAACTGAAGAGGGTTGTTGACGTCAGGCGTCAAACGTAGATTTCACGGTGCATGCATGAATGACGCGCTTTTATATAAATCGGTGATTTTGTGACAGAAAAGTGATGTAGGGAATACTGTAAGGACAATGTGGATCGCACTAAAGAACTCGGGTGAGTTAGCCTTCGAATCATTACTTTACAAAATTTATGTTGCGTATGAAGGAGGCCTGAGAGCAAATTCCAGACCAATTTCCATTAGCCCAAAAATTCTACATTAAACCATTTCATAATGTACTTTCGACGTTTTTGGTTTCCCGTTTTTGTGTGAAAAAAAAAGTATTAAAATGCAAAAAGGAAAAACAACAAATGATACTCACGTATTACACCGGACATGTACCTGCTATATTGGATTAGGTCCCCAACCCTAACCCTAACCCTAACCCTAAACTCTAAACCCTCAGCCCTAACCCTAACCCTAACCCCTTTGAATAATCAAGTCAAACACGACTGACGTGTCTAGTTTAATGCATTATTACCGCTTCGAAAAATAAAATACTAATAAAACACTTTTCTATGTAATGGTGCAAATTACTGATTGACAAAAATATATATGTAAATTAAAAAAATTACAAAATACAAAATACACAAAACATAACACCTCAGCAGCCCGTAATACAAATAAATATGAGCGTATTAGTGAAAAAAGAAAAATATTTCAAACTGGTGCTTGCAAAATATTGCGCATCCGCCGGTATACAACTACTGGAAACTCTCAACATCATTGGGCTTATGCAATGACATAGCTCGTAGAGATGAAACACCAGTGAGCGGAGCTTATACGCACTCGCTGAGCCAGACACCCGTGTTGCCATGCAGGCGTCATAGGGCATTGTTTCGAGAACGTGCTTTCGAACAAATCACATGACATTACGTAAAAGGGTATTATGACGTATTTTTAAAGTTTGTGGTGCTGTATTCTAAAGGTAGGCCCGTTATTTTTTCCTCTGTATGGAACCATTATGTCTACGTTAAGCCACCCGCCTCATGTGTGGTGTGTATTTCAACACTCGGGGAGGTAGTCGTATTACCTGCGGGGGAAATTCTACACACACACCACCTGACTTTCTCATTGAGCACGAATGAACCTTAAACAATCATCTATACACCTACTGTCAGGAGCATAAAAAGGTGGTTAATCTTTGCACTAAGCACGCAAGAAGGTTAAATTGCCGTCTACACACCTTTTGTCAACGGGATCAATAAGGCAGGGCGATGAATCTTCACACTGAGCATGAAAGAAAGTTGAAACAGTTGTCTGTAAACTTACCGTCGGGCGGATCAAGGAGGGAGGGTGGTGAATCTTCACACTGAGCATGAAAGAAAGTTGAAACAGTTGTCTGTAAACTTACCGTCGGGCGGATCAAGGAGGGAGGGTGGTGAATCTTCACACTGGGCATGAACAGGGCTGGGGATATACGTCACATTGGGATGAGCTGCAGGAGGTTCTTGTGGTAGCTGTTGATGGCCACGAGGACGTCGTTGTAGGTGTCGATAATACCACAGGCCAATGGCAGCAACGACGATGATGACGCTGACGACAGCGGCAATAGCAACAACTACAATATGGCCATTGGTCATTGATGTTGGCTGATCTCTATTTGTAAGTTCTGAAAATATCAAGATGTATTTTTTTTTGCAAGGAGTAATCTTATTTAAGGGATTCCAAATATCACAATGTACATTACAGACACTTCGCAAAAATATTCCTGACAGTACACGAGGCATAACATGAACCATTAATGAACTAATCTGTAGACACGCGAATGGGTGGAGAACATTTCTAATATAACTTCGATCTTGCATAGTTTAGATACTTGACATGGGACATGATAGAAATGCAACCATCCTGTTAGAATTTTAGAATAAATCACGCAGGTATTAAAGTTTAGTATTACGGGCTCTTGGTGGCGCGGGATCTGATATCGTGTGTGTGTGTGTGTGTGTGTGTGTGTGTGTGTGTGTAGATGCTGTACGCCAAAGACCAGGCTTTAGAGAGTAATACTCTTACACATCACAATTCAAACAAGGATTGCTTCAGCCCCATTGTCTCTAAGGCTATAATTATGTTTGTTTCATTTGAACAGTCTGCGTGCTGCAATCAGGTACTGAACAGCTATATAATATTAGATATCATATTTCAAATACTTGACGACAAAACGGAAACTGACTTTTGATCCAAGTACGTGGGAACTGGATGGATTGAAGCTGACAAACGAACCTAGCATTTGTGACTCAGTGGGCTCAGGTACATCTAGCCATCCATCTGATCCATCCATCCATCACACCAGAAACCTAGCATTATAGAAATGTATTGACGTAAGTCGGTATTGTATAAAGTCACTGTCACCTTGAGCGCAGTAGACCCGACACTCGACAGCCTTTCTTCTCTTCCTGTTCTGCAGGCAGTTCTTCTCACAGTTCACGCATCTGGACAATCTCTTTACATAGTGGGATCCGGGATCACAGCTGGGCGTGGTCGTCGGAATGGGCACAGATGTTGACTTCCCGTAATCTAGAGAATTCAACAGACAAATCTGTTTTGTTTGTTTGACAATGTTGTTAACGCCACGTTCATCAATATCCCACTCTATAGCTGCGATTTGTAAATCCAGTGATCAACAGCATGAGCATCTGTCTATACATTTGGGATACGATGACACGTGTCAGCCAAGTCATCAAGTCGGACCACACGATCCCATTAGTCGCCTCTTGCAATGACTGACGGATGGGTGGTAAACGCTATCCGATAACATTAACTGCATAGTATAGTGGTCAATTTTGTCAGAAAATATGTATTTAATATTGTGGCGGATACCATTTTCAAGGAATCAGATAGCTTTTTTGTCATTCAAAACTTAAGAATACGTTTTACTTTATAGCCACAATGTGTTACACCAACTGTGTCCATTATGTCACTGATATGTTAATAACGAGGGGTATTGTAAGAGACCTAATGTCGTGGGGTGCGTGGCTGATTAAGTCTAACTATTAGCAATATGTAGGGAATCGAACCCAGGTCTTCGGCGTGTCGAACGGACGCCTTAACCAATAGGCTACCCCACCACCCGTGATGTCGTGGGTGTACACCAACGTGCAGCAGATAGTTCCTGCTAGTTAACTATGTAACGAATTCATAAATTAAATTCAATATTATTTCGGTGAAATGTTTGTGTCCCCGATATGACCCGCTGTGTGATAAGACAGGAAGAACAGGGACACCTGTGTTGTGACATTTGAAGTCGCTACATCAAAGCAAGTCACGACATGCGGGAGCCGGCATGTATTTTTGCATGATGTTCCAAGTCGGTGGCTGGGCAATCTGACTCCTCTTAACGACCGGCGTAGTCCCGATACAAGTGTCTAGACGGCAGGAGAAAAACAAATAAAACGCTCGCTGCTCCGTGAATGCATCAGACTAGATAAATAGGGCTTAGGTAATACTATTACCAAGATGTCGCGTGTGAAAAATAACCAATCTGTAATTATGTATCCGGGAATCGTGTACAAACATAGATTAAAACATAAATGAAAGTAAACACTTGGTGTTTTGGGATTTCAAAAACACGCACGCAAAAGTGGTTTGTATTGTGTATGTGTTGCTTAAACACCTGAACGTTAGGATGTATAAGGCAGACCATCATCAGATTGGCCAGATATCTGACAGTTCATGACCGAGAGTGGAGACCTGGAGCTGGTGACCCACAAGATGACAATCACATGCGCATTCTCCATCAGCATAAGCGGATGCTGAATATGACGTCAGCAGCATCAACAGGGTTGGGCCAGCGAATGAGTTGGAGCACAATGATGATGTGACTGCGCCCTGTCATCATCCGGGCCATCTGCCACTTCGGGCCATGCCATGAATCCGTCACCTTTGACTGGATCGTCTACGTTAGACGAAGAATGTGCGACACTGGCAGCAATGCATTTGGGTACGATATTAGTGGTATTTTGTCAACACGAACGAAACATTTGTGACTTTAAATCAAAGCACTGAAAATATTTAGTATACGTTTTTTTGGTGATGGATTCATGGCATGGCCCGAAGTGGCAGATGGGCCCGGTTGATGACAGGGCGCAGTCACAAAGCAATGTGTGTATAGTTTCTTTTGTACGTCAGTATACACATTGGGGCAGCAGTTTTGTTTCTGTGTTTCTCATCGTCCGACCGACTGCAATTTGGCCGGGGATCTAAAAATTGAAAACAGTTTTTTTTTCATGTCTGCTGACTACATACTGCTCATTCAGTTGTTTCCTTCCAGTGTCCGTGCTTGCATGAGGGCTGTGGGTAAAGGACAAGTGAAAATTCATAAGATTCACATTACATTCTTCTTTCTTTGCATTTCATTTATTAATACTCTATCAAATATTAAAGAGTAACGAAACTGTTTAATGACGGAAGTGTCTAAGTTTATGACTAACATCTGCTGCTTGTCTCTGTCGTTCTCTGCTGCGTTTGTTCGCACTGCAATCTGTATTATGCAAACGTGTAAAATTGCTAAGTTTACTACAAATGACTTTGCTGCATGGATTTACTATAACAAAGAAAACAGAATATAAGTGTTTGTTACTGATGCAGATATGAATACACCAATGATTTTTTAAATTCTGATTTTGGTTTTATTTTATACTGACCGACCAAGCTTCTAATCACGATGGCGACGTGAAACATAAAAAAAATGCTGCCCACATATGAAGGTACTCAATGTTTTAAAATTGTGTAGAAAGATGCAACCGAATTTGACATCTTTTACAATAATGCCGTGAAGGGGAAGTAAAGGTTACTGCCAATGTGTTGTTAGGCCGAATGACTGGCTTCAAGTTTCCAACTGTACCATATGACCTTGAGGGATGTTGTGTCAAATCTCTTTCCTGCTTTGCACGGAAATAACGTGCAGAGATCCCAGTCGGTTGGTTTGTCCATGGCCAACAAAATCATATTTAATATATATCATATATAGTTTTGCAACCATTCACGTTGAGTATGTTCATACTGGATATACCGTCTAGTGTGTCATTTATCGCAATTTTGATGATCACTTGTTGACCACGTTTGGCGATACCTCAGTGGTATCGAAATTATTGTAGGATTGCACAAGACGCGACTATCTTGGGTAAACTTAAGTGAGAAAAAGAGTTTGGATGTACTTTATCAGCTCGAGGAAAAACAAACTGTAGTACTGTCAAACCTAACACACCTCACATGTATTCTGTTGGTAGATATTTTTCGTTTAACAGAGTTTCTTGGATACCGCCGTAAATTTCAATACCCCAGCGTTATGACCAGTAAATAATCGATTCTCAACCAGGCATTACAATGACTGATATCATGAGCATCGATCTCAGCAAACATGTCAGCGAACCTCACCATCCTATCCCGCAAGACGCCTCTCGTGAATAGCATCTCTTGATAAAAGCTAACCCGGATCTTCACTGGTGCAACAGTAACAGGTTATTGCTACAGAGTGCTAAAATTATATGCACATGTTGTTGACGTCAACTTTATAAGAGGTCGCAGTCCACACTAGAGGTCCCACACTAGTGGGATCGATGTACTGCAGCACCTTTGGACGATGTGTTGGGACCTTGGATGAGATTATCATTTAATGTGACATACCCACCCCTATCTACGCAGTTCTTCAATTGGGCGCAGAACGCACAAGGTGAACGGGCAACCTTTAAAACAAATCGTGATTCAGAAATCTGTAAAAATTGTAAAACAGTAAAAACCGAAATTTCGAAAAACATGTATCTCCGTTATGGTTTGGGCTTAGTGATGGCAATACGTATTGTAATACAATCCTTAGGACATACACTACAGACCTGTATACATAATCCTTAGGACATACACTATAGACCTGTATACATAAAATACAGATATGTGAACCAGGATCGGACATAATATACAGACCTGTATACCCTGGATGGGACATAATATACAGATCTGTCCACCAGGAAGGGACATAAATACATACCTGTCCACCAGGATGGGACCTACTATAAAGATCTGTCCACCCAGCAAGGGACAAAATATACAGACCTGTCCACCAGGAAGGTACATAAATATACATACCTGCCCACCATCAAAGGACATAATATACAGACCTGCCTACCCAGGAAGTGACATAATATACACACCAGTCCACCATCAAGGGACAAAATATACAGACCTGCCTACACAGGAAGGGACATCATATACAGACCTGCCTACCCAGCAAGGGACATAATATACACACCAGTCCACCATCAACGGGACATTATATACATACCTGTCCACCATCAAGGGACATAAAATACAGACCTGTCTACCCAGGAAGGGACATAATATACAGGCCTGTTAACCAGCAAAGGACATAATATACACAATGTCCACCATCAAGGGACATAATATACCGACCTGTCTACCCAGGAAGGGACATAATATACAGAACTGTCCACCTAGGAAGGGACATAATATACAGACCTGTCTACCCAGGAAGGGACATGAAATACAGGCCTGTCCACCATCAAGGGACATAATATACAGGCCTGTTAACCACCAAGGGACATAATATACACACCAGTCCACCATCAAGGGACATAATATACAGAACTGTCCACCTAGGAAGGGACATAATATACAGACCTGTCTACCCAGGAAGGGACATAATATACAGAACTGTCCACCTAGGAAGGGACATAATATACAGACCTGTCTACCCAGGAAGGGACATAATATACAGACCTGTCTACCCAGGAAGGGACATAATATACAGACCTGTCCACCATCAAGGGACATAATATACAGACCTGTCCACCAGGAAGGGACATAATATACAGACCTGTCTACCCAGGAAGGGACATAATATACAGGCCTGTTAACCAGCAAGGGACATAATATACAGACCAGTCCACCATAAAGGGACATAATATACAGACCTGTCCACCCAGAAAGGGACATAATATACAGACCTGTCCACCCAGGAAGGGACATAATATACAGACCTGTCCACCACCAAGGGACATAATATACAGACCTCTCCACCCAGGAATGGAAATGATATACATACCTGTCCACCAGCAAGGGACATAATATACAGATCTGTCCAACCAGGAAGGGAAATAATATACAAGCGCATCAACCGTGAAGGGAAATAATATACAGACATGTCCACCAGCAAGCTACATAATATTCGGACCTGTCCACCCAGAAAGGAACATAATATACAGACGTGTCCACCCAGAAAGGAATATAATATACAGACCTTTCAACCCAGCAAAGGAGATAATAAAAAGACATATCCACCGTCACGGGAAATAATACACAGACCGGCCCACCAAGGAAAGGAACTTAACTTATACTGACCTGTCGACCCAGAAAGGGACAAAATATACAGACCTGTCCATCACCAAGGGACATGATATACAGACCTTTCCACCCATGAAGGGACATAATATACAGACCTGTCCACCATCAAGGGACATAATATACCGACCTGTCCACCACCAAGGGACATAATATACAGACCT